CAAGCAAGCTCTTCCACAGACCAGAGTAGTGCTCGTCTTGTCTGCTCGTGTGGCCGATTACAAAAGTTTCCTGATGATTCATCTGACGTGTGTGGTGTCCACTCACTCACACACAGAATAAATGAAATTTTTTTGGGGAGAGAGAGAGAGATCTCCCTTTTTGTTAATGCTGCTGACATAGAGCTTAATTGGTGTCGAACAAGCATCATATGTGAGCCAAACAAAATGTCATGCCAATGGGCAGATAGGCTTTTCCTCGCTCAAAGTACAAGTGGCCTAGATGTTATTTAGCCATGAAACTGACAGTTGAACTTTTAGAAGTCGAGCAAAACTTACTTTCATATGCTTTAGAAGAAATTGTTAATTGTAAGAATGGAATTTACTCGGTGTGACAGTTGAATGACACAGGATTAACATCTGTGTTTTCCAGAGAAGTAAAACTGAACTGGTGATGTTTGAAAATAGGAAAATGCATCTTGCTGGGATTCATAGATGCGCTTTCATCAGGATGCTACTTCTTGTGCGATATACAGTCTTGTTGAAATCAGTTTTTAGCTGGAATTTTGAGGTCGACCACAGCAAACTAATCTCTCTTGTAGCATCTATTTATGTCCAATCAGAGGCAAAAGATGCATGTTGCTTTCAGTAAGCTATTCATTTTGATGTGTTCCACTGTATCTTGTTTAAAGCTCCACCAACAATCCCATTGTGAAGATTATCCAAAATCCTCCTTTCTGTCGGCTTCTACTGACATGAGATGTTGGCATGTTTATCTCTTCCATTAGGATATTCTTTGCGTTTGCTAATGTCGCTCCTATCATTTTAATGCATAGCCCTCAGTTAAGACAAACACGAATGGAATTCTGATTGCTAACCTTCAATGCTGCAGGGGCCAGAGATTCGAACTGGATTTCTGAAGGATGCTAAGCCCGTACAATTGAAGCAGGGCCATGAGATCACGATATCTACTGACTATAGCATAAAGGGGGATGAGAATATGATTTGCATGAGCTACAAAAAGTTGGCCGAGGATCTAAAGCCCGGAAGTGTCATTCTTTGTGCGGATGGGACAATCTCATTTACTGTATTATCCTGTGACAAAAAAACAGGGTTTAGTTCATTGTCGCTGTGAGAACTCTGCAGTTCTTGGCGAGAGAAAGAATGTGAATCTTCCTGGTGTTGTCGTGGACCTTCCAACATTGACCGAGAAAGACAAAGAAGATATTATGCAGACAGTGGGGTGTTCCCAATAAGATTGACATGATTGCTCTTTCCTTCGTCAGGAAAGGTTCAGACCTTGTGGAGGTACGGAAGTTGCTTGGGAAGCATGCGAAGAGCATTCTTCTTATGTCAAAGGTATGATGAATCTTTTCCTTAATCTGGACCAATGACTTCTGTTGTCCAAGCTGCTGCTAACATGCATTTATCAGGAAGCAATTTATAAAGTTGTCTTCTCTTATAGAAACTAACAAGTGACAACTAGGAAAATAGTTACTTATTTGGGCTAGTATGAATGCTGTATTAAATGAACTAAATTTTAAATGACAATTACGTGGATAGAGAAATGCATTTCTGAATGTTTGGATTCTTTTAAATGTATTAGTACGGCATTATAGGTCTTCCTTGGGTTTGGGGTACCCTAGCAGGAGTTGCAATTTATGAGATTAGTCAAGATTTCCATTCTAAATGTTGGTTGGTCCTTTTTTGTGAATGACATTTGGTAGGTCGAGAATCAAGAAGGTGTTGCAAATTTCGATGACATTCTTGCAAATTCTGATGCATTTATGGTGGCTCGCGGTGACCTTGGAATGGAAATCCCAATTGAGAAGATATTCCTTGCACAGAAAGTGATGATCTACAAGTGCAACATTCAAGGTAAACCAGTGGTCACAGCCACACAGATGCTTGAATCCGTGATAAAATCACCCCGGCCGACAAGAGCGGAAGCTACTGATGTTGCTAATGCCGTCCTTGATGGCAGCGACTGTGTGATGCTAAGTGGTGAAACGGCTGCAGGAGCTTATCCAGAGCTCGCAGTTCGCACCATGGCAAAAATATGCCTAGAAGCAGAGAGCACTCTTAACTATGGAGATGTTTTTAAACGAATAATGGAACACTCACCAGTCCCCATGAGCCCATTGGAGAGCCTGGCTTCTTCTGCTGTTAGAACGGCCAACTCTGCTAAAGCAGCTCTTATACTGGTTCTTACTAGAGCAGGAAGCACTGCAAAACTGGTGGCTAAGTACAGGCCAGGCATCCCCATATTGTCAGTTGTTGTCCCTGGGATCACGACAGATTCATTCGACTGGTTGTGCAGTGACGAGGCCCCAGCAAGGCACAGCCTTATATTCAGGGGGTTGGTGCCCGTTTTATGTGCAGGATCTTCCAGGGCTTCTTCTGCAGAGACTACAGAAGAAGCCATTGATTTTGCACTTCAGCTCGCCAAGGCTAAAGGACTGTGCAGAAATGGAGATTCCGTAGTGGCTCTACATCGCGTTGGAAATGCTTCCGTGATCAAGATCTTGATTGTGAAATAATGGGAGGTATGGTGATGTTCGATTTTGCATTTGTCTTGCAATTTTTGAGAGAGGATTTTTACTCTGGTATATCTAGAGATACGAGTCTATACTGCCTTGTGTAATTCTTAATTGAGATTATCATAATCTCAAAATGTTATGGTGAAACACACACAGATGCAGAGACTTGTGAATGAATTATTTGGAGACTTTCTGCTATGCTCCAGATGGGGGTCCATCTGTTTGGTTAAGAACATGGGATCCTATTATTTATCAACTGTTCTCTTTTATATTACTAAGATTCCATTTAGTGCCAGTTTACTTTGGTGCTCGTGTTAATGTTTCTTATGCTTTATTGTGCTGCGATATATTATGGCTATGCCTGTAGTGTTTGCGGTGTCGGGGGAGTGTAGCATAGTGTTCTTAGCCATGTATGCCGATGTTCATCTCAAATTATGTAATTTTAATGAAATTAAGTTTTCACTTAAGTAGTAGGTTGATTTTTTAGAAGTGAAGATGAATTCTATTGAATTGATTTGGTTTTTAGATTGGACAAAAAAAAGTTAAAATGATGAGAAAACTTGAAAGGGGAACCGCAGAATCTCCTTTAATAGCCTGCATGTGTAAGAGAAAAAAATTGGACTGAGCTTTTACTACTGATCCACCCGTCTTGAAGCAGAAGAAAAAGAACAATCTCTGGCTCTTTAATTATTCAAATCGTAGATGAATTTGCCGCAAAGCTTGGCACCGGTCTTATATCTCAAGTTTGTCGATGCGATTTTCATCGTCACATGAAATTGAATTTATATCTCACCTAAAACTTTGCAACGATCGACCAATCGAGCAGTCCTTGAGAGGGACAAGCGATTCATGTTGCTGCGGTCCAGGATGTGCATCAACGCCTCGGTCGGACCGGGCGTGGTCCTTCCCAAAATAATTTAAAATGGCAACCAGCGATGCATGATGGGTTGCGTTTGGTGATATAGCCTCCATGTCCACATCAATTTTGATAACCTCCATGAAGAAACGACGATGGAGGGCAGTTTGACATCGTCAACATCTGATTGTCGTGCACGACAAGCCCAAAAAGGAAGAAAACGAACTCGTGGATCACATGAAGATTCGACGCCTTTTCTTCTGTGGAAGTACTTGGGAAAGAGTCGGATACCACATGGGGAGCAGTTTCTGAAAACGTTCGCCTTAGTTGTGGTTTTCTGGTCCACCTCACATGATGTAGCCCCACTCCTCCTAAAGCTCAAACCAATTCAAACTTCAAACAAGCATAACATCCAAACCCCCATGAACACTGCCAAGGATTCCCTGCGAAAGCGTGCTGATAATCGCGATGGTCGTGCAAGGAGCACCGAAAGTGTCGAGAATCAGCTGAAACCAGCATTAACCTCGCCTTGAAGTGATCGAACTAGAATATGCTTTTCTTCACGGACGTAGCCAATTTGATGCGAGCGCTCCGACTACTGCGCTTCGCATGAGCAGGCCTAGACAGGATGTGTACGAATGTTTATTTTCCAGAGTAGATGCCGTCATGGTAGCTGGCACTTTCTCAAGTCGCGCCTCAATGAAAAGCCTACATGTGAGATATGCGCGCGCACGCTGAATGGCTCCTCTGCATCTTATGTGGACTCTAGACCCTAGATTACTTCAGCTTGACCTTAGGCCGAATGCGAGTACTCCAATGGTTACAATTGAAGCCGAGCCTCGATGTACTCATCGCAAACTCTTTCCCTAGTCCGGGGGAAACTCGGATTATGAAAAACCTGTCTGGACCAATGCCTCCATAAGCAGAAGGTCAGGCTCATTCGTAAAATGTCTTATTGTATTTGGGTCACAGTTTCATAGCAAGGGGATTTCATGCACGAACTGGTCAAAAATTACAAGCAGGATCTCTGGCCAAATTCCCTGTTATACCACGTTCACGCTTCGACCTAGTAAAGTAAAGCTTTGGAACAGTTGCAAGCGAAAGAGACACATTGCGGCGAAAAGATCCTGCTTTTGCACATATCTTGTCTGCAACAGAAATCAGAAATTGACCCACCTTAAATGTGTTGCATGCATCTCGCTATGCCTGCTATTCCTCTCCTCTTTTAGCTTCTATTACAACAATCAGATCTTGTCTGCAACAGAAAATAGAAATTGGCCTACCTTAAATGTGTTAGAAGCATCTTGTTATACCTGCTATGCTCATTGCCTTTGCCTTCAGTGAGATCAAAGGGACATTAACCTGTTTTTTAACCTCCATCTCCGACATAGGGTCTCTCTTCTCTTCCTTGTTGGAGCACTGGAAGCTGCCACCCCACATGTCAGAATCACTTCAACGAGCTTTACTCGTCTTATGATCCGTGGCCTGTGCCAAGTTCTCTCCGAGCACACTGACTTCCCCAACATAGTTTCGATTTCTACCATTGGAGAGGTTAAAAAGGACCCCCTCGAAGCATCATATATTTGAAAACGAAAAAGGGTAGCAGATTGACAGCAATGCCAATCACAGTCGCGGTAGCTGTTTTATCATCACACGAGGATGTGCAAATCCTTCTCGTTTCTATTTTAAAAAGCACAAAAGAAAATACAAATTTCCAACAAATGGGAAAAAAAAATAGTAATATCTTCTTGGAAAATTCCACATAAGCAAGTACAATACTATGTACAGGCGGAATGCAAGATCACCACAGCAACAAGCCAAGGAAGAAATACCAGAACTAGTAAGAATTGTTCTCAATTCTCACCGGTTTAAAATGAAGCACCTTCACGTTCGTTTGATGATGAACCCGACGGCGAGGAGGTAGAATTTCCTCCCCCAGAATGCGATCCAGAGTTGGAAGAAAACAAACCACTGAAAGGCCATGGGAATGAAAACCTCCTGCCATTTTCATTTCTGTGGTTCCCTTCTCCTTCTTCAACACTACCCCGAGCACTCTCACTCTCCCTCTCCCTCTCACCTGTGTCATTTCCGTTCCTGGACCCATCAGCATCAGTCTTTGATTCATCAATAGGCAACTGAAAACGGCAAACCGGGCAAGAACTATGGAGCTCAAGCCAAGGCAAGATACAGCCACTATGAAACTTATGCTTACATGGCATCTCTTTAGCTTCTGCTCCAATCTGGAGATCATCCAAGCATACTGAACACTGCACATTCTCCGCCACCTTCACGGTTGGCATAGCTTCAATGGCCTCCTTTCTGGCGGGTGGCGTACCATGTCCATTGGGATCGTTTTCCGCCAAATGTTGCAACAGCAAATCCAAACCAGGGCCGACAAAATAATCGCCCAGCGAGCCAATTAGGTTTGAGTTCTGGTTCGAATAATCTGACGAACCCCGAAGGACTATAGTTTGATTGAATGGATTTATCAAGATGACACGCTCTCTTTCCCTATGCCCATCCCTATCTCCATCTCTGTCTCTAGCAGTACCTCCATTTTCTGATTCAGATGCAATTCCAGCTCTAGCGTCTCGCAACAATCGCAAGATAGTGGCTGAGCTTCTCCTCCTCCTACGAATTATGGATTCAATTTCCCGATCGAACTCAGCATCGACTCCATGATGCGACTCGCCCTCCTCGGTATCATCATCTTCATCTTCAAATCCCAAGCGTCTGAACCTACGTCTTCGACGGTTATTGCCCATCATGCCAAGCAAAATCGGTGCCCAAAGAGAGAGCGCACGGTCTGAACCAAAGTCGCCGTCAGAGTCCCGTGTATCCCTCGTGGTGGAGCTCATCTCTTCAATAAAACCGCTTTCGCAGTACGGGCACTTGATCTCTGCTTCCAGAATGGGATTCACCATTCGGGAGCACACGTGGCACCAATATCTTGCTACCATTGCTTCCTCCATCTTGTCTTTCCCTCTTCCCCCTTCAGTTCTGTCATGCCCAAAGCAGTGAAATTAACAACCATCATAGGCTAATAGGTAGACCGAGACAATATGCAGCCCAAGTCTACACTCAACAGCAGAGGCTCCAAGTTTTGCGAAACCATAACAGATCTAGCTCATAAACAATCAATTTGTGACATCCAAACATCAAAATGTCCTCTAGACATGCACAAACAAGGGAAAAAAAACTCCAAGATCTGATAAATACTGAAATCATTCGGCAACCCAACCGATTACCTTCCGAGGTCCAATTGGGTCCATCTTCAACTTTGTAGCTCGAAATAAACGGGGAAAAATCAAGAAGTTCACAGATACAGCAGGGGGCCAAAAATCATCCTTCAACTGGAGAGAAGGGTTAATCTCAAACTCGTTCCTCAACAAAACACGTTGGACCAAAGTCAACGTCTTGCGTGCAATCTACTTTACCCACCCACCCACCCTCAAAAGAAAAAGTTTTCTGCTTTCAATTTTTTTTAAAAAAAAAAAGCAAGATGCACATCGTGAAGCTCACCAAAGTTCAGAAGGATCCCAAACAACACCAACCCCAGCTGCTTCAAACTAAGCTCCCAAATATACGCACATCGCCTCGAAAATGGGAAAAAGGGAGAAATCACCCAGAGCGGGTTCTGCTCTGGAAAAACAACCGCGCTCCATCACGGCGGAGAAAAAGCAAAAGGACAAAATCCCAGAATGAACCCAGAAACGCAAGGATCTGGACAAAAAAGGAAAAATCGCAAGCGGGGCGCAGGCTCCACCCAAAGCACATCTCCACCGCACAAATCCAGACGCACCCGACACCGCGAACGGATCAACGAGGGGGAGAAGAAGGAGGCGGCAGAGCCCCCACGACACCCACGCGCTCGTTCGATCCAACACCGGACGAGGACCCAGATGGGAAGGAAAGATCAGAGAACCGCTCCAGAGAGAAAGATCGAGGAAGGCACAGAGGAGAGGGGGGAGAGAGAGAGAGCGAGGAAAAGGATACCGACCCGACAAGACCGTCGCAGCTCCGGACTCGGCGTCGCCGATGTCGTCGTCGTCGTCGCCGTCGCCGTCGCCGTCGCCTTCCGGGGCCTGGAACAGGGGGGAATTCCCGGGGAGGGAAAGGAAGAGAGAGAGAAGAATGCAGAGAAGGAAAAGGCGAACGCAAATGGGTTTGAAGATTCTCGGCAAAAGGACAAACTTACCGCGTCTGTCTGTCTGTCTGTCTCTCTCTCTCTCTCCCCTCTCCTTTACGACGCCTGTCCTTTTCTCCTCTCTCTCTCTCTCTCTCTCTGTCTTTTTCTTCTTCCTGTTTTTCTTCCACTTGTCTCGTTTTCTTACCTCGAATTTCTCCCCTTTTTTATACGTAAATAATTGGATTAATACGACGAAAGATTTTAAATTTATATATTTATGATAAATTTATCTCAAATTAATTTTTTAATCGTTAAAATTTTTTAATTAATACATCTGTCATAAATATACTCTAAATTAATTTTTTTATCACAAAAAACCTCAAATTGATACATTTGTGATAAATTTACCCTTCGTTATTTCCACTAAATTAGATTAATATCCAAAAAAATCACAAATTGATACACACGTGACAAACGGAGGGTAAAACCCAAAATCGGTACATCTGTCAATTGCCGCGTGTCATTTAACAAAGCAATTTGACAGCAAAATTTAACGAAAACTGATGGGGGTAAATTTGCCACGGGTGTACCAGTTTAGAATTTTTCGTGATCAAAAAATTAGTTTAGGGTAAATTTGTCACAGGCGTACCAGTTTTGGGATTTTTCGTAGTATTAACTCTGGTACACTTGTGACAAATTTACCCTGAACTAATTTTTTGACCGCCAAAAACCCCAAACTGGTACGCCTGTGATAATTTTACCCCGAACTAATATTTTGATCACTAAAAACTCCAAACTGGTACTCTTATGACAAATTTACCCTCCATTAGTGTCCGTTAAATTGGATTAATATCGCGAAAATCCACAAATTGGTAAACTTGTGACAAATAGAGGGGTAAAATCCCAAATTTGTACACCCGTCAACTACCACGTGTCATCAAACTTAACAATTTGACAGTAAAATTTAACGGAAACTAATGGAGGGTAAATTTATCACATGTGTATCAGTTTGAGGTTTTCTAGTTCGGGGTAAAATCGTTACAGGTATACCAGTTTAGGGTTTTTGGTGGTCAAAAAATTAATTCTGAGTAAAATCGTCACAGGTGCACCAGTTTGGGATTTTTTGTGGTAAAAAAAATAATTTTGGGTAAATTTATTACAGGTGTACCAATTTAGGGTTTTTCGTGGTATTAACCCTAACCCTAAATAATTCTCATTTCTTGGTTACCGAATTTCCCCCCTCCCCCCCCCCCCACAAATTTTTTTTTTTACATTTTTTCAATCAAGCCATTTCGGTTTGTCCAAGGTAAGTGATCATTGGGCAGGCTCGAGCCGGACCAAACCGAACGATAAGGTCGGGGCCTATGCTTTTACCTGAGCCGACCTGACTCGAATTCTTTTATAATATATAATCTTCGGTCGGGTCGGATTTTACCATTAAGTGCCCTTATTTGAACTCGCCCTTGAAAGTCTTCCGGCCCTTGTGGCTCGACCCAGCCTAGGGAAGGCCACTACATCCATGATTTGGTTTGTTTTTTAATCAAGTCTTGAAATCTGCATGATTGTTCTGATTAAGTCTCTCCGACTTCAAATTCGGTTATTTAAAGTTTAACGTGTTTGTCAGAGCAAATAAGAGTTTGATGCGGATAGCTTAATTTCAGTTGTTCGTGTTGGGGAATGTCATTGCTTGATGTCTGATTGTGGTTTTCATTCCGTATAGTCGATATTCCCAGATGAGAAAAAGCTTTTTCTCACGTAAGGCCTTGTCGGCTTCGATGAACATGCAGCTCTAAATAATCGAGATTTAAAGTTGGTGGAACTCGTCTTGAATAGCCCTGTACAAGTTTAAGGACTTAATTAGGCAATTTAAAAGTTGATGGACCCGATGCAAAAAAGATCCGTAAATTTAGGAGATAGAAATAAAAGTTTTAGCTTGCTTCGTTTGACGCTTTGATTGATCTAGTTCGGTCAAATTAGCTTGTGCATACTACACATTGTTGCATGGTGTTTGGTCCAACGTGGCATGTGCTATATTTGAGCTATGTTCATAAATTGCATAAGGCCTTACTTGCTGAACGTAGATGGGACGATGTGCGTGCGCATTCATTAAGATTAAATGATTAAAAGCCGTTGTTACCTATCTTGTAAACTGTTGACAGATGAGTACAATTTTGCCATCCAAGAATTGTTCTAGTGTTGTAATTGTTCAAGGTTGTCACCTCTTCTTTTTTAAGTAAGATTTCGAAGAACACCTTCGCATTTATCAATTCTTAAAATAAAGAAACGAAACATATAAAAAGATTCATTTTGATGATTAGTATCATAATTTAGCATTTGCTATTCTCTTCTTTACATTTGTCAGCCAATGTCTGTAAAAAAGAAAAGCTCGAATATATGACGTTCCTCCCGAAAGATCAAGCACGGTTCTTTAAATAACAAAGGCGGGTAAGATTGAATTTCATCTATCCGGATTTAAGATTCACAGTCTGCAACAATTTATTTATGCGACGCTGCAGTTCATCAATAAAAAATATGGCCTTTATTAGATCCATCGTCGATACAAAAGACAAGTTACATTCGCCGCTAAAATGATTGTTCCAGAAACAAACCGGTCAAAAAACCGATTTCAAATACACACGTTGCTCATCCCAAATTTTTTTTTTTATACCGGCTACGGCGGACCTAACAATAATTCTTACAAAAATGTTAATTTGACCCCAAAAAAAAATGGAGTCAAGGTCTTCACTTTTTTTTTTTTGTAAATTTTTTCTTTATGGAAAATGATTTAAAACGGTCTTCTCTCCTTTACTTGACTGAGCTATACGACCGTGGCGCTGCAAACGCAAGTTCAGCGCCGTCGTCTCCATCCCCTCGCCGTTCCCCACACCCAACCGCCGCGACTCCCCCGCCGCCGCCGCCGCCGCCGCCGCCGCCATGGAAGACCACCGCCACCACCACCGCCACCACCGCCCTCACCGGATCTCCGTCCCGCCCCGCGCCGCGGCTGCGGCCGCCTCGAGGCCGCCCTACCCCGCCTTTTCCTTCCCCCCGTCGACCCCGACCCCGACGCCGTCGAAGTCGCGCGGCTTCTCCCTCCTCACCCCGTCCTCTGCCCGGCTCTCCGCCGGCGGCGGCGGCGGCGGCGGCAGCAGATCCTCGCTCCCCTTCCTCTTCCTCCTCCTCTTCTCCCTCCGATCCCTCTACGGCCTCCTCCCCTTCCTCCGCTCCTCCCCGCCCTCCTTCTCCCTCTTCCCCTTCTCCTTCCTCGTCTCGCTCCTCTCCTTCCTTCTCTCCCTGTCCTTCTCCCTCCTCTCCCCTCCCTCGCCGCCCTCCAAATCCCCCCTCCAGCCGAAGCTCCAGGGCCGGCGGCACCTCCTCGTCCTGGCCTCCCTCTCCCCCTCGCAGAACAGGTCCCTCGCCGCGAAATCGGTCCTCCTGGCCGTCGTGTTCCTCCTCCGGTTCCAGGCCCTCAGGTACTGCAGCGCCGCGGCGATGATCCTCGCCGAATTATCCGGCAACGTCGCCGCGCGGTTCCTCGCCGAGGGGAAGATTAGGGATTCCGGCTATCTGGGTAAGAATCGATCCTCTAGGGTTCGCGGGTTTATTGCATTGTTTCTGGGATTGTTTCTTTTGGCTCTGAGTTGGGACCGGAACATGTGTTTCCCCTTTTCCGGATCATCGTCTTCTGTTGGTAATTGGAGGTTCTCGGTATTGCCTAGAGAGAATTGTTTGAGGATATGGCCGATGCTGTTGCCGTTCTTGTCCGGATTTTTGGGGTGTTACGAGCGCGTGTCGATGAATCGGGGAGTGCTTCAGGAGCTGGGGCAGAAACGGCTTAGGTTGATTTCGCTGCTCTATACATCTGTTGTGCTCTTTGTTCCTGCTGTTATTAGCATTCTTGTGTTTGAGCACGAAGGAGATAGTATTTCAGTTACCAGTTTAGGTTGGCCTCTAGCTAATACTGTTGTTTTTGGAGTGCTGTTGAGTGAGAATTGCAGTGATGAGAAGTTTGTGAGCTCTAAAGACTTTCGGAGGGAATTTTTGGTTACGTTCGCTTGCACGGTGGTTTTGGAGTTGTTCTACTTCCCTGAGCTCTCGCTCTGGGGATTATTGCTTTGTGGGATACTTCTTTATGTTGCCGTTGCGGAGCTGGATCCTGTTTACTCGAGTTACGCTGAGTTGGGTTTGGAATCGTCGGAGCCATTTACTACCTCGATCATAAGGCCTATCCGTCACATTTTGAGCGAGAGGAAGTCTCGCAAGATTGCGCTTTTCCTCATGATCAACACCGGGTACATGGTTGTCGAGTTCGTAGTTGGGTTCATGAGCAACAGTCTTGGCTTGATATCAGATGCATGCCACATGTTGTTTGACTGTGCTGCTTTGGCTATTGGCCTTTATGCTTCGTATATATCACGCTTACCTGCTAATGGGCAGTTCAATTATGGTCGTGGGAGATTTGAGGTTCTCTCTGGGTATGTCAATGCAGTTTTTCTGGTGTTGGTTGGAGCACTTATTGTGTTAGAGTCTTTTGAAAGAATTTTGGACCCGCAGGAGATCTCGACCAATAGTTTGTTAACCGTGTCCATTGGCGGGCTTCTTGTCAATGTGGTTGGGTTGATATTCTTCCATGAAGAGCATCATCATGCGCATGGTGGATCCTGCTCTCACTCGAATTCTCACTCCGGTTCCCATTCCCATTCCCAACACCAACATGACCACGACTGCCACAGTGAGGATCAGAAATGTATTTCTGTCGACCATGATTGCCATGAAAAATCTTGCTCTGATCATCATAACCAGCATGGTCACCATCATTCTGATCACCACAGCAATGACAATGCTAAAAGTGCTTATCCTACTTCGGGGAGCTCTAGTTGTCATGGTCATGACCATGCTGACATTCATAGTGAAGGTTCTCATGGGTTTGATCATGCTCATCACAATGACCATGCTCATGCTCATGGTCATGACCATGACCATCATCATCATGATCCGGTCTCCGCACATCATTACTCCACTGAAGGTCATGCAGACGGACGTCTGCCTACTCAGACAGCAGCTCCACACTCCCATGGGCACTGTTCGTCCATTAGTCACATCCACCAGAGAAATCTACCATCAAGTGAAGGGGAAGCTAAAAAACAGAGTCACCATCACATTGACCACAACATGGAAGGGATATTCTTGCACGTTCTAGCAGATACAATGGGAAGTGTTGGAGTCGTTGTGTCGACTCTGTTGATAAAGTACAAGGGATGGCTGGTTGCAGATCCTGCCAGCTCTATATTTATTTCCATTTTAATTGTGTCCTCAGTCATCCCGTTGCTCAGGAACTCGGCAGAGATTTTGCTCCAAAGGGTGCCTAGGGCTCACGAACAGGATCTATTTAATGCTCTAAACAATGTCACAAAGATAAAGCAGGTGAGAGGCATTCCACATTTCCATGCATGGAGCTTTACGAACACAGAGGTAGTGGGAACAATCCATCTTCATGTCGAGACGGAAGCTGACAAGGCTTCCACAAAAGCACAAGTTTCCCGCATGCTGCATGATGTGGGGATTAACGATCTTACGCTGCAGGTGGAGTGTGTCAATCATACTTAATGCTGATCTTGAACTAATGCTGAGTTTCATCATTTTCGGGATTGCTCGAAGAAAAGAGAAACCCCCCCTGTATGAGGACTGATTCAAATTGCTGACTAAAAATGTCAATGAAGCTCCGGATACAGTGCTGTCGCTGCTGTTCTGGGTTTCATCTCAGTTACTCGGTGTGGTTCTAAAAAATTCATAATGAATGAGAAGATGCAAGACATCCATCAATCAACTGCTGGAATGCTCGTCTTTTTTCTGGTAAGATTGCATGGTAAAGGCTGTTGTTGCCTCAATGTCATCGCGGTTTCCTTTTTGGATTAGTGGTCCACAGAAATTGGATTGCTTTGATGTAAATAACTAGCTTAGTACCCGTGCAATCTGCATGCGCGGGAACTCCTTTTCTCTCAGCAATATAGAGTCCAAAGAATTTTCTGTCCCGGTTTTGTTTATGTAGTAGCTGTAACTTGTGAATGAACAAAGGAGCTGGGGATCAGCACTTGGTTGATTTAATGCCGAATCTTAAAAAGTTTTGGATAACATTAGATTTTGGAATCGAAGAAACTTATGTTAAGCTCAGATTGTAGTATGAAGTGTACTTTCAATAGTGCGATTTGGGTCAATTGTGGGTAATGCTAGAGAACAGGGAACGTGCATTGGAGTTACAGGCTACCTAGAACTTTCAGCTGGGGCTGCTTTTGTCCGTCTCGTGAAGCGACTTGAATAGGATATGATTGTAATGACAAATTTTAGAGACATGACAGAGATGATGGAAACCCTTTTCTCTTTGTGCAATCTGGTGTTTGGAACTTTGTTTTTTTTTTCCTTTTTCAAATTGAGGACCTCAATTTTCAAGAATTGCCTTCACGCGGTCCTCGTGGCGCGTTTTTTTAATGTGACTTGAAACGGTAGGTCATTTCTTTTTGCCAATAAGCTGAAAACCTGGTTTTTTTTTTTTCCTTGTTCCTCCTAGACTTTTTCTTCCTTCCTCTGCACTGCCGATGCGACTACTCGTGTTGACCTGTTGTGGCTTGCAGCCGTCACCGTTATAGTCGCCGCCCTAGCGTGTGGTCGGCCGAGGGAATGCGGGTCCTCTCATCGTGGTGGTCATGCTCGATCGAACTGTGGCAATTAGTAATAGAATTTCTATTGCACTGGCCTATTATAATTGTGTGTGTGTGTGTACTGTATTGCATCGGGAAAAAGCTCTGAATTTTGTTAATTTTATCACATTTTGTGACTTAGAAGACCAAACGAATGGAGTCTTTCTTGCAGCAGCTGGCGTTTGAAATCGTTTTCCGCATAGGAAAAGAACTTCTAATCTGTGGATGGAGACCATAATATTAGTGACTTCGTTAAAAATAGCCCGAAACACTCGTTAAACAATCAAAAATAAAAAAAAAAATGTTTTTGTTTTAATGAATTGGTTGTCTACATTATGCGAAAATTTAGATTTTTGAAAATTGAATGTCTCCTCGTTAAACACGTTTAAAAATGTGTTTTGGAGCAGTCATGACATGACCTAGAGGAGTTCCAGCTTGAGCAGCGGGGCATTCTCGAGGACAGAAGACTGACGACCTTTGCCTCCACCAGCATTCATAAATAATAATACTAACACAGAACAGAACTAAATTCAAAATATATAGAAGGTTTTGAGCATCCCACACATCAAGAGCTGTTCCACCGGAGTAAAAAACCCAACATTAAACTGATTATACGTCACGAACCTCGACAATTCATTTATCTTTTGCGAAACAAACTTACCCTTTAAATACACTAGGTCAAATTATTGAAACCCTGTCTTAATTTAGTCATAGTTAACAATACCAACCGATGTAGCCCTATTATAGCGAATTTTTTTGGCTTTATCTTGAACCATTGGGAAACGAGCACAAGATAAAGCAATCGAGGGCAGATACTTGTCCGGATCTGCGTCCCCACGAACCGAGTCCATCGCGACCACTAATGGCGTGGGTCCCACGAGATTAATGACTATTTCCGGTCCACGACCGCGCAAAACCCCGCCGAGTCTTGACAAGACCTCGCAGTCGAGGCAGGATTTTGGTTCAAAGATGATGCGTGGCGGTAGGTATATAGCACACGAGATTGGATCAGGCAACAAGAGCTTGACTTGCAGATTGATGGTGGAGTCACGTGACTTTGACTGGTCGGACGAGGTTGATGTCAATGACCTTCGCTTCATTGGTGAAAGGGGAAAAGGAACAGCTCACATCTGCTGCGTGGCCTTCACTTCATGTCAAAGTCAAGAAAAGCAAACGAGAAAGCAAAAGGTCCCGCTCCTAAACGCTATTTGCCAGGTCTTTCCTCAGCACAGGGTCGTTCCCCTGTCGTCCTTTTCAAACTAGGGACTCAGGAAATGAGAAGTGGAAGGTAGCATCAAACCTAAAACCACGTAAAGGAAGGGAATATGTTCAGGCATCACTAGGTGGGATATTCTCTGGACACAAAACAATGTACGGGGAAATTTCGAAGGTAAAACGTTGTAACGTGCAATAATCACACTTTAAGATTCGATTACGACAAACCGTCGTGACTCGCTAAATCACTTTCCCCAAAATATGACTCATGATATTGTATCGAAAAGGCAATGCGAAAATGCTCCAGCTAAAACGCACCTGAGCAGCTGTAATCATGGTTACACAAATACTCTGAAGATATCGGCAAAACATAGCTTGAGAGAGAGAGAGAGAGAGAGAGATGAAGGGCGCTCAACGTGCCAAGCAAATATCCGTTCTAACACTCTTAAGACATCAGCAAAACAAAAATTGAGATCAGAACTAGACAAATAGGCCATTTACCCAACAAAGGACCACATCTATGCCACAAGTAATGCTATTGTCTTTAAAAAGGGGTTAATACCACCAAAAACCCTAAACTGGTACATGTGTGACAATTTTACCCCGAACTTTTTTTTTGACCACCAAAAATCCTAAATTAGTACACCTGTGACAATTTTACCATAAACTTGTTTTTTTACTACCAAAAATCCCAAACTAGTACACCTGTGACAATTTTACTCCAAACTGGTAAACCCGTGACAAATTTACCCTAAACTATTTTTTTGATCACGAAAAACCTCAAACTGTGACAATTTTACCCAGAACTAACAATTTTTTAATTATATTTTTTCGATTTTTTTTTCTTCATCTTCAACCTCTTGCCGGTCGCCGGACTGGCGACTGGCCAGAGGTGGAAGCCGGCGAGGTCGGCCCCGCTGGCTGCTGGCGAGGCTCGACCTCGCCGGCATCGGGAGAGGGCCGCCCTCGCTGGATCTAACGAGGGTGGCCCTCGCCGGCGTCGGGCGAGGGTCGCCCTTGCCTGGGCGGGCGAGGATAGCTCTTGCCCGACGCCAGCGGGGGCCGCCCTCGCCAGATCCGGCGAGGGCCGACCTCGCCTGCCCAGGCGAGGATATCCCTCGCACGACTCAGGCGAGGGTTGCCCTCGCCTGCCCAGGCGAGGGCTAGCCTCGCCCGACGCTGGCGAGGGTTGGCCTCGCCCGACGCTGGCGAGGGCAGCCCTCGCCCGACTCAGGCGAGGGTCGCCCTTGCCCGACTCAGGCGAGGGCGGCCCTCGCCAGCATCCGGCGGGGCCGACCTCGCCGACTTCCGCCTCTAGCCGGTCGCCAGTCCGGCGACGGGCCAAAGGTTGAAGATGAAAAAAAAAAAAGAAAAGAAAAAACAAAATAATTAATAAAAATTTGAAAAAATAATATTAAAATTTTAGTTCAGGGTAAAATTGTCATATGTGTACCAGTTTGGGGTTTTTTGTGGTATGTTCAGGGTAAAATTGTCACAAGAGTACCAGTTTAGGATTTTTTGGGGTATGTACGAGATAAAATTGTCACGTGTACCAGTTTGGGGTTTTTGGTGATAAAAAAAAAAGTTCAGGGTAAAATTGTCACATGTGTACCAGTTTGGGGTTTTTGGTGGTATTAACTCTTTAAAAAAAGAAAGACGAGAAATCCATGCATCATCCGTACATAATCATGGCCATGCACGAACAATTCCGACCGCCACCAAGAGAAGCCTGACATGATATCCTATGCAAGTGGCATTCAAATGTAGCTAAACCAAACATTTTCCATTGAAGTTCCCTCTCAAAAGTTAATGAATACAATATCATTCAATTAGTCAATTCCAATTTCCACATGAGCCGTGAGTATGATCCTTCTAATTTACACTCAGCATCCTCTTCATGCAAAAAGAATGGCAAAAATAGGAAAATGTACAAAGCCATCCCAATATAACTCAACCTGCAAAGTTGAATGATGAAATCTCAGAATATATGGATGCAGTAGATAGAAAAACATATGTCTCATATGTCCTTTACCTATACACTCTGAGGCTTATTTGCAATCTCATGCTGAGATATGGTTCTTGAACTATTAACCTGCAAAGACACATTAAAATTACAGAGGACAAAAGGAGAATCTTGTACCCTAGTCCTAAAATTGGGCTCATCTTCCAACAAATTCACGAAACACCAAAAAATTTTCTAGCAGTTTTTTGCCATTACAAATATATGTCCATCTGTCGGAGAAGCCGGGAATATCTGTATTTAAAGTTGCATGGACAACTAACAAAATAAATGTTCATATGTTCATGCTGCTTAGAGACTCTCTCTCTCTCTCTCTTTAAAGTTTCATGGACAACTAACAAAATATATGTTCATATGTTCATGCTGCTTAGATACTCTCTCTCTCTCTCTCTCTCTCTCTCTCTCTCTCTCTCTCTCTCTCTCTCTCTCTCGCGCACGTGCGCGCGCACGTATTGTCGGAGATGGGTTGGCTGTCCTTAACTCATATAGCTTGTTTATGCAATTTAAAGAGGTCCCAAGTAAAGAGACTGGTTTCAGAGTAGGTAGGTTCCAGACCAAGAACCTAGAACCTACCCTGTCAGACCGGGAACCGAACAACCAGTTCCAAGGTCAACTCAGAACCGGGCCTGATCTTAAGTATTACTACTATAATTTTAGGAAAACATATCTCCAACAATATCTATCTTTTTTTTCAAACAAAGAACAAAAACAAAAGTTAAAAACCAATTTAAAACCTGTTCAACCTGAGAACCGATGTTCACGGTATAAAACCGGCAACCTAATGGGTCAAGGCAAGCTCCTCAATTTTTTATGTAAAATCTACCAGGTCCCCTGTGAACTGGCCTAACTGGTCAGGTAAGGCTGGTTTGGTTCGGTTCTCGGATTGAATCGGCCTAGTTACTCACACCCAGTCTTGAGCACGACATGTTTCATGAGATAAACTAAACATCAATCTTGCAAGTTCCCTGCCTCCCCTTTTTTTTCAATCAGTTCATCAAGTGAACCAAGTACTGTATTTATAAAGAGTTAAATTCTCCACGATCCTTGAGTATAATCGCAAGAAGTAAAAGGAAATATTGAGATCGCTACATACATCTGCATCCCGAAAGGACCTCCCAACGGATGTCTTCAGTTCAGAAGCTTCTGCGGCAGATAAAGACTCATCATCACCAGTGCCACTTCGGTTAACCTACAATTGAAACATGCAAGATAGATGGTGTCAGAACTCATAAATTGTATCACGTCACGAAGAACTCCACAGCTTCTGAGAACCTGAGCCCAAGGATAATGCTTAAACGCTCTAATCAATATACTCTCAACTCAAAGAAATGTTAGATTAAAACACATAGTCAGATCAAGGAAACAAAACATTCTGCACAATCAGCTTTGCAGCGCAACCACTCCAGAGCAGATTTTGATCCCAGGAAAGCACATGTTTAGAAGAAATGCAGAGAAGACAAAGAATGGGTTTTCACACGCCATGTAGAGAGAGCCTTCACTAGTTCCTAATCAAGCAAGTCGTGACAGATGTCCAGATTTTCAATGAATGAAATGAGATGTGTAAACAAAAATAAACCACCACATTATGAGGAGACATCCATTATACACTAACTAAATATTCACTAAAGGTCCATTGAAGCAAAAGTGATAAATTAATTTGGCTCATTTCAAGATATATGGAGAAGTGTATAAAACAAAAATAGATATACTGAAGATTTAGTAGGCACTTGCGTTGAACCATGCATCATTGATTTGGCTGCAAGGCAAAGGTTTTAAAGCAGGGACTTGTCAAGAATTTCCTAGAGCTCTTGAAAAGCTCATGATTGATCACAAGCATTGCTACAGCTTCTAATGAAGAATAACACAGCTTGTAATCAAAACAGTTAAACTGTTAACCCTACTTAATGCTTCCACTACGAAGGTGCTACCATGGAGACAAGGAAGCAACTTATGACAGTATGAGATCAACCATGTCATAAAGTTACTATACAAGGAAAATGGACATTTTACTGGTCAATATTAACAACTATGATAGCACTTCTTACGCAAAATGGAAAAGTTGCTGGTGATGCACTATTATGGTTGATAAAGGAGGCACTCCCTAAGATCATATCTGGTCTAGAAAATGGCTCCAACTATATTCTCCAAAACTTGCTCCATAATGATTTTTGTACTCCCATTTACAAAAGACCTCACTTACTGAAGACAGTATTTGACCCAAATATCCTTCTATAGCCCAGATGCTTTCAATGTCACTTCACATTTCCAAATCCAATGTATCAAAATGTTAACTGATATTATAGTTTCAATAACCAATTTCTGCTGCATAATGTCCTCATCATATCAAAGTAGTCCTCCAATTCTTACATTATCAGTCAAGAACAACATATATAACATACATATACTCTATTCAGCAGAATGAATCACACTTTCCTGGCAGTAAATATTATCTGTGAGGGAAAAGATCCAAAAATAAGCAAACAATGGTGTATGGACAGAAATCAGGTAAAACAACACGAAACATTTGAAAAACCATGCAACCAATTTAGATGACAATCCCAATAACTCGGAAGCATCTTTAGTGGGGAAAAAGAGCGAGCCAAATACAATTAATATAATAATAGGTGAAAAAACTATACCCTACTTAAGCGTCTGTCTTGACCATCTTCAAAAAGTGATGAATAATAAGAGGGGTCATAGATTGAGCCCCCTAGTATCTCATCAGGATCTGGGTCTTGTCTAACTGCAGCAGGAGTCACCGGACTTAAAAAGCTAGTTCTTGAATCAGTATCTACCTCATGGGGATATGCACTGTCTACACGTGAAACCCCTAGCCTGTATATCTGAATCCATAAAAACGAGGATGACAGCCTCACAGAAAACCCAAATATTTGCATAGCCAGCGCGAGTTTCACTGAAAAGATGAAAAATACTCCATAGTCATCAGAAGAAATGTTCCTGCATTAACATAAAATACTCCAAGATTATACATAAAGGAAGTGCAAGAAGAGAAAGACTGTTCCCTGGAGTAAACTATTCACTACAGTAGGTCATGATTATTTCACAGGGAAAATATATTTTATGCCCTACAATATTCTTAAAATTTCAATTTGACATCTATAAATACTTTCTCATTTTCAATATCACCTTCAACTGTTTGGATAAATTATTAAAAAACCATTGCATATAAATTCCGTTCAATATCTACAAGACAGACTTAAATTAATTTTCCTAACAATATTGTTGTTAAGAAAAGTACTCGCCAGGAAATATGACCTTTGAGTCACATTTCATTTCCAAGCAACTCTTGGTAAAGTAATCAACTTAAAGGAACTTGGATAACTGTGGAATCATTGACTCAGAACTATTTTGAGGCTACTTCAGAATGAGGGGTTGGTGGAAAAATAGAATGACAGCATATTAGATTCCACAATCATAATCCTTGGACAGTTTTTATTACTGATGTTGGAGACTGGGATTTGATCAGCAACTTATATTAGGTATATAATAAGTATTCTTGTTGTCAGTAGTGACAGGCTTCCTTTTTCAATTATGTTTCCTGTTCAGCTTTATTATTTCGTTTAGATTAAGTTAAGGAAGACTATTGAATTATAGCAAGTCTTTCTTTGAGTAACGTGATGCAATTTTTCTCTTAAGCTTGATACTTAAGAAGCCTTAGTTGCATGCTTAGGAAACTTCAAGTGTAAGGCAAAAAGAAAAAGGGATAAGTGCACTCGAAGTCCTAAAACTTGTCACGAAAGTGCAATTGAGTCCTAAATCTTTCAAAAAGTGCAATCAAGTTCTAAAACTTGTCAAGTTGGTACCCTCAAGTCCTTCCATTAACTCTGTCCCAATTGACAAACAGAAAATGCGAACAAGTTTTAGGATTTGAATGCACCATCTTGACAAGTTTTATGACTTAATTGCACTTTTTGAAATTAATTGCATTTTTTGAAAGTTTTAGGAATCAATTGCACTTTTGTGACAAGTTTTAGGACTTGATTGCACTTTGAAAGTTTTAGAACTCAATTGCACTTTCGTAAAAAGTTTTAGGACTTCCGGTGCACTCATCCCAAAGAAAAATGTACTCGTTTTTTAATATTATTCATTGAGAGTTCTCCTTCACATTCTCTGTCCCGGCTTACTAAGTTGGGACTCGTCCTATATCAGGTTTTGGAATCGAAGCAAATGTTTCTACCGCTGACTTATGATTTTCTCCAAAAATGGTGAGTGACACTAAATCGAACTCTAGTCTAACTAAGTTGCACTATGACTTTGGCAAATTGAAATCAAAATGTGAAGCTTTTCGCAAGGTTCATGACAATATAAAGCAAGTTTTTACAAAGAGGGCTTTTCAAGGAGAAGAGAGATCAGTGTCTATCCACTCTTCACGTTTGGTTGGTGGAAAAGTTCAATTTCACACTTATAGCTTGTGGGGAATGATAGAAATAGTCTTTTGTTCTTAATATTTGTATATGGGCGGCTTACCTATGAAGTCATTTTGTATAGGGGTGGTACCTCCTTGGTACCCTTTTTCTACAAAAATTTTGCTTATCCTCCAAAAGATTTATAGATGAATAAATAAAGCAAGTTTTGGTGCACTAATAAACAAAGTTCATGAAATTTTTTAGCAACTAAACACAATACCCATTGCCCGTGGATTGTAATCAGTTAAAACCACAAATAACCAAGCCTCTCTAGCATGGGATACAAAGTTTTCATGGTCTTCAAGAGTTAGAAGAATCTTTCCCAGAGGGTGAGGAACTAGAATCACATGACATGAATGTCAAAGAAACGGGCAAGAAAGAAAGCTTCAATGTTCATGCTTCTAGCGTGGGGAATTAGGCCATTTGGTATACCAAAATTCAGTGAAGACGCATGATAAGTCTCCTTTTCCCATTCTCAGTAGGATGTTAAGTTTCCTTTTCCAATACCTATTCTGACTTTGAATAGGATTGCTGTTTACCTTCCTTTTAAATAGAGCAAATGGAGAGTACCGAATCCTAGCAAGTTTCGCTTTAATTGTGATGCCATAATTCTCTTAAGTATGAGGCCCAAGAAGCCTAGGTGTGATGCTTAGAAAGCTATAGATTGAGAGTTCCCTTACAACTTGCACTCATTACTTGTGGGACTCATGGTCCTGCATCAACCTCCCTTCCCATTTGTTAGACTGACTAAATCTCACAAAGAGCATTTATGGCATGCCAAAGATTGACGATCCAATGTCTATATTGATATTTCTACTTCATTAAGATCTGCAGCCGAGCTTTGCATCGATGGTGGGAAAGGTCTCAATCAATCATCATATACACACAAGTTTGTAATCTGTCAACTAATAACGAGCATGATGGGTTCGTGGGACTTAATTTTCACCGGGAAAAAATCACTACAAGAATAGGCAGTGAAGTGAACAAGAATTAAAGCTTTCACATCTAATAATTTTCTACAAGTGGGTCAACTGCTTCAACATCAATGACCAGGCATGACATAAAGGCAAAGCACCAGTTCAACAGAATTGAAGTATTTGGGAGGACTATTGGGCAGACAACGTACCATATCTCATAGGTGAAGAGAATGAACCAGGAGATATCGAGCAGAATCGCGCAGAAGAGAAGGACGGCGTAGGTTCGACCCAGCTTCTGGCTGCTACTCTCGATAGCCACCAGAGCAAACAGAGCAATGGCCAAGTTGATGAGCAGAATCCCGTTGTATATCGCGCCCAGCGATCCCACCAATGCGCAACCAATCTAAAGTCCATAGAACATCACGAATTCCAAACAAACAATCAACACCCACCAAAAATCGTAACCCGAAAACGAGGAAAAAACCTAGCTTTGAGCCCGGGAACATAGAGAATCCCGAGAGAGAGTTTAAGAGAAAAGAGGAGCTCACTTGGATGTAAATGAGGACGACGGCCAAGGACTGGAGGCTGTCGTAATCGCGAAGGAAGCGCCGGATGCGGTCTCCCAGCGACCAACAAGGCATCATATGCCCGCGAGGACCGGCCGAATCTCGCCTACGTCGATCTGGCCATGCGGGTACCGCGCGCGGCTGCACATGAACAGAAGTGGGCGCCGCCGCGGCCGGAGGAGGAGGAGGAGCCCGAAGTGCGAGGAGCTGTTGCTCTTGCAATGGCGAGAGATACGCAGCAACTGAAAGCGGGAGCTCTGGTTTTTCGGGGAAGAAGGAAGGAGAAAAACTGGTTGGGCTTTACAGTGTCCGAGGTTGCGCTTCCGTTTCTGATGACGGAATCTCGTTCCAGCGCCCACGTGCAGCGCACGTGCGTGGTTGCTCCTCCGTGTTGTCTCCTCTCCTATTTGTCACGGATTAGTGATGGTCTGTTCTTTTTTCATGAATATAAGTTAAAGTTTGACAGTAACTATAGAGAGTTTGTTCCTCCTCTCTTGTCAACTCTCTTTATGTTCCCCGGTTCAAATCATATGGGGAGCACTTCGATGGTGAAATCTTGAGCGGATCGGGGCGATGCGAAGGAGGGCGCTCTTGGTAAGGGCACGAGCGAGCTCCCGATCCAGCCGGGTTATTACTTTTCGTTCTTTTTAAAGCGGCATGGTCAGTGGTTTAGTCCTGATTCAGCAGCAGCTGTGATGAATTTTCTTCAGGCTTCAATGTAGCTGAAGAAGGTGGATGCCACAGCTAGCTACAACACTTGTTCCCAAGGTTGGAAGATGTCTCGAGGATGACTCGATTTAGGCCCCTTTTCTCGCTGTAACATACTATGCAGGTGAATCGCCAAGGCGTTGGCTACTTGATTGAAGAAGTGTCTGCCTGATTTTATTGGCTACAACGAGGCTGCAGTTGCTGAAGGTAGAAGGGGTTTCTGACAAACATACTCTTGGCTCATGGATTTGTCAAGAACTATCTGGGATTTCTCCTCGAGCAATGACCAAATATCATGAAAGCATTTTGATTCAGTGAGGTGGGATTTCCTTTTTGCTGTGCTATATGTTGTTCAAATGCCTCGGCAGTTTACTCAATGTGTTAAAACTTGTTATCTCTGGAGCTTATTTCTCTATTTGTTTGAATGGTGGCCGTTGAAGGTTTCGTCAAAGGAGAGATCTGAGTGTGCGCTGCGGAACTGAGGGTTCTTACACTATATAAAAATGGGATGGTGATTGGAATGCATTCTGGGGAGGTGCTTGGCAAAAGTTTCTTGAAACTGAAGCCTCCAGGCTCGATTGCATAATGTTCTGTCCAGCCCATCGGCTCGACCCTGTTGGATGCTGTAAATGTTGGGCTGAGTGAGCCAGATCAATGAGATTGGCTTTCAAGACAAACTCAACCAATTACCTTTAGTATCTCACCGGGGCTCCCCCTTCTCCTCTCAAGACAAGTTCGTTTATGTTAGGGGTGAGCGGTTCCCGATCCGATCCGGTCCAACTTAAGAACCGGGAACTAGACCGGGAGGACCGGTTCCCAGTTTCTAGGGCCGGAGACTGGACCGGCTAGTCTTGGGTCGCAATCCGGTCCGATCCGGTCCTGTTCGGTTCCAATGGGACCAATATTAAATATTATTTGTGAACTGGGAACCGATTATTCCATTCTTTCATTTGTAGTTCTGATTTGATCCTATAAGGCCATGAAAAAAATTAGAAAAATATATAATATATGAAAAAATTGAACAATTGGTTCCAATGGGACCAATATTAAATATTTTTCATATATATATATTAAATATTATATATATGAAAAAATTAGAAAAATATATATTTATTGGTCCGGTCTGGTCGGTTCGGTCCAGTTCGGTTCCCACTCTAGAACCGGGAACCGAACTGCCCAGAAACTGGTTTCACTTTTAAGAATCGAAAGCTAGACCGATATTCCCGAGAATCACCTGGGACAAGATATCTGATTTACGCAACGCCAAGCCGACCTTCCGCTTCCGGAATGGATTTCTTTGGGACAAGAAAAGAGTTGGGATTTTTCTTTCCAAGCCGTTGCCCTTGTCAGAGAGATTCCTTCATTTAATGGAATAGAAAGACGCCTTCGCGTACCAAAAGGGAAAGGAAAGACAGGGCATACTCTTCCTTTAAAGTCCTTTTGACGGCAATGAAGCGAAACAGCTCAACCAAAGCGGAGAGGAGATGTTGGGCAAGAAAGGAAGTCTTTCCTTCAGCCATCAAGCCTTCAATCAAGCATAACTGATCCTCTCTCTTGAGGAGAGATCAAACTGGTCGGTCCGGTCCCGGTTTGGGTGGTCCATCTTGCTTACCCCTAGTTCATGTCCCTTGCGCAAAAGCCAGGACATACCTTCTATGGACACTTTGTCTACTCCTTACCTCCTAATATTACGTTTGTGGAGAAACACCTAGGTTCCTACATGATCTTTCTGGGCTCTATTTTCAGCTCAATTCCATATCATCTTCCTAAGTAAATGTCCAAAGAACAGATCTTTCAGTTCAATGAGGGTGACCGCAAAAGTCACCGAATGGTAAGTCTTTTCCTTCGATTTGTCCTATTTAATAAAATACAATAAAAAATGTGCGGGAGGACGTTGCAGATGTGCGGGACGAACACGACTTCTTCTAACACTAGAAAACCACCGGAAGACACCTGGGACCAAAGCATGTCGTGAAAGAAGCACAATGGGCCGGTGTGGCTTCAACCGTGTCTCCGGACACAATTGAATGTAATTATCATGAATGCTAAGGGACCTAAAACATGTATCTATTGTGTATGCCACATACTTACGATATGCCTCAAGTCCACTCAAAAAAATCATTCCTACTTTAAACTCAAATCACACATTAAAGGGTAAATGACATAAATAGTCCATGAATTTTAGCCCAATGTGCAATATGATCAATGAATTTTAGATTTATTTAATGTGGTTCTTGAACTTTAGTCCAATGTATAATATTGTCCCTAAAATTTTAATTTGTTCAATGTAGTTCCTTAACTTTTGGTAATATTCAATTTAGTCCTTCGACTGTATGTTGTCCTTGAATTTGAATTAATGGAAGGACTACATTTAATATTTTCATACAGTCCAAAAATATAAATTGAACATGTACCAAAAGTCCATGGACCATATTGAACGAATTATAATTTTAGCAAAAAAAAAAATTGAACAAATTATAAATTCGGAGACGATATTGCATATTGAGTTAAAGTTCATGGATTACATTGAATAAACAGATTGGCAATTTTGCGAATCTTATTAATTTTAAATTATCTAGAATTTTTATTATTCTTGACGCTCTATTTGTTTCGCGAAAAAATAAATAATTTAGAAAATATTTTCCTAAAGATAATAATTTGTATATCTTGAATAAATAATCATTGATAAATATTTTCATGATTGATAATAATTTAAATATAAATATTTTTGTGGATGATGAAAATAATTTTTAATGTATTTATTATTGTAAGCTGCATAAGCAATTTTTTTAAAAAATATTTTCAAATCCTTATTTTTCGCGAAAAAATTGTCGGAAAAGTTCATAATGGTCCGGCCTCGAGGTTCTCTCTTTCCTGAAGTGGTGAGAAAGCGGGGGGAAAGGCCAGAGACGCCGCCGCGCCGCTACAGGAAGAGGGAAGAAGGCGATCAATGGCGGAAACATCTCCACCGCCGCCCGCGGCGGAGCCGGCGGCGTCGAAGCAAAACGGGAAGTCGATCGCCGACATCGCGGAGGATGTCCAGCGGACGGTGTTGGAGTCCAGGGACTCCGCCATCCAAACCGCTCGTTCTCTCCACCAGAACTCCTCCACCCATCTTCGCTCCCTCCAGGTCCCTTCTTTTCTTTTCATTCATCTCCTCCGTCTATTCCATTTTGGTGCTAGGAATCGATCTCCCGATCTGGGTCCTGCCATTTCTTTGATTTTTATGAAGTTTCTGGCGGCGAGGTCATAATCCGTTCTTGTCTCGATGAATTGGGTTTGTGGCAAAGTCGACACTTGGGCACCGTTAGTTTGTAAAAATTCGATCTTTTTAAAGTGATGTTTGCGATTTGGTTGTGTGTTTTGAGTGATTAGTGGGAGTGTGGTGAAGAGTTCATGATTCGTCCTGTAGGGATGATTGGTTCATGCTGTGGCTCAAATTTTCGTTTTTTTATGTTCTTGATTTTGAAGCTGCTCGCGGTGAATGCTTTTTATTCCTTTTCAGGAGTTTCTGACAAACATGAAATCTCAGTATCATGCATATGAAGATGCTTTCGTCAATAGGGTCAAAGGTAAATATACGTTTTACTTTGGGATATTTGGCATTGGATGCATTATGATACATGCCTACGATTTGAGCTTTATTTATTTGCTTCAATGACATAGCTTCAAAATGCCGCATGAACTGTGTTGATTGGATATGTGTTGATCTTAGAACTTCACGGTTTGAAGGACTTGGGAGTTCTGACCACAAATTCAACTTGGGATTTTGTTTCTGATGTGATGAAATTGCACAACTGAGGAGTAATCTGAAAATGATCTGTCTAGGATATGTTAATGAGAGGCCATAAGATAAGTGAGCAGCATGAGCAAATCTTAATATAGGAGCCAGTCATTGGATTAGTCTTATTGATTCTCATGATGCACTGCCTTCTTTTCACAGATGAAGTCACGAGTGCAAGGGAACATCCCGGAACAACTGTCGGGGTTTCTGTTGCAGCTGCCCTCCTCCTCTTGCGGGGTATGAGCACTTGTCATTTGTGCAATAATTTCTTAGATTTTGTTACGCATGATATTCTTCCACCAGTCATTTTCAAGGAGCTGTCAGATGCTACATCCTTTTATCGCTAGCTGTGTCAGATTTTTCACCTAGCAATACAATCTATGTTTGTATAACCAAGGTTCTGTTTAATCACAAATAGTGATTACTCGGACATAAGATAAGTAGGGAACCAATTAGCCATCATTTAGGTTAGCATGTGCAAAATTGAACGGTTGTCTTGGACCATGGTTTTGGCTGACTGCGTAAAACGATGTCATTTCAAGAATTGTCATGTGTTGAGCTTCAGAAACAAGGTAAATAAATAATCTAAGCATGATTTGTGAAACTCTACTTGTTTCCTTTAACGTCTTGATAGTGAGGACAGTCGCACTCTATCATCATTGGCATGTGAAGAGGATGTGGGTTTGATTGTTACCCCCTCCCCTTTAGAAAAGAGAAGTTTTTGACACGTGGAGATTTCTAGTTAGGATGCAACTTTTTTGAGTTTTCTATTTCAAAAGGACAGGAAATAATTTGAAATGCTACTATGTAATCCATAGTCCATTCTTTCTGACTTCTCCATCCTCTGTCCTTGTACATCTCTGCATCTCATTGAAGCCTGGATGTTATTTGAAAATGCTGAGGAACTCATCAGTAGATTGCTGCCAGGGGTT